GTTTACATTTATCATTGGGTGCTTGTACCTGTACATGATGTAGCTGGGTTCTTATTTTTTCCCCATTACCTGTATGCCCTTCACCCCTCCACCCTTCCCTATTTACATAGACTTAGTTTCCATTATTTTTCTCTTCTCATAATTTTTCCTTTCCATTCTTTCCTTTCCCCATCTCCTCCCACCCCCCTACCCCTTTGGACCTTTTCCTATTTCAAAGTATCAATTATTAGTTATTAATACTTTTAATCCTTATCTACACTCTCAGTTTCTCACACTAGAGAAACTATTCAGTATTTACACGTGTGTCCTATTTATTTCTGGATAACATATTCTTAAGTGAAAAAAATAGGACAGACATGTGTTAAGTACTGATTAGTTTCTCTGGTGTGAGAAATCAAAAGTGTAAATAAGGATCTGAATGTAAATAGATAATGTAAAATATGGAGAATATATCTGAAGGGGCAGGGGAAATAGAAGAGGTAGGGGAAAGGAAAGAAAGGAAAGGAATAAATATAGGGTAAAGAAAAATGGAAACAACATCTTTGTAAATAGGGAGTGGTGGAGTGGTTGAATGGAGGGCAGAAGATTGGGGAAAAAATAAGAACCAAGATATATTATGTAAAGGTACAGTACCCAATAATGAATATTAGCCTATTGTATACCTAATATGTACCAATAAAATTAGTGAATAAATAAATATTGAAATAAAATAAACTATATAAATATGCATTAATATACTCGATCTAATTAACATTATAGCAAGCCCTTGCTTCATTAACATGCTTATCATCTTTATCTTAACCTGTAATCAAGAAAAATAATCCTGCATAGAACCTGTTTCATAACAAAATATACGCGAAATTTCCTCACGGGACCACAAGACAAACAGCTACACTGAGTAGGATTACTATTTTTCAGTCTTTTGAGTACTCTCTACACTGACTTCCACAGTGGTTGAACTAGGTTACATTCCCATCGATGATGCTGAATGTTCCCCTTTTCCCTTGAAGCCTCTTGAGTATTTTTTTTAGTTCTTCATGATAGACCTTTTGGTGATAAAGCCATTTAAATTTGCATTTCTCCAATGGCCACTTTTCTGAGAAATGTGTACTCATTTCCTTGGCTGGGTTTTTCAACTAGGTCTTTTCTTTGGGGTGCATAATTTTTAGAGTTCTTTATGTATTCCAGATATTAGTCCTCTGAGGAGTACCTAGTAAAATTCTTTTCCCAGTACAAGTATTGCCCAAACTAAGTTTTCATGTCTCTATGTTCAGAACATGGAATGCCTTACTCATGTTTCATTATTTATTTTTAAAACAACGAGGAAGGCTTATGACTGTTCTACAAATATTGACCATGAAAATAATATTTCCTGAGGAACAAAATCATGATTTGCCATAGCAATTTTTTCTATCCTTTCACAGGTTTACATATTAATTGAAACATTTCTTTCCTGAAATGTGAAATGCAGATACAAAGAGAGCTCTTACACAGTTTGCTAAGACAACAAGCCAAGATGCCCTCCACTGACTCCAAAGCCATAATCATCCTGTCTCAGCCTCTCCTGATGCTAGGACTAGAGGAATGCACCATCACATCTGGCTTAGTCCTTCACATGTTAAGTGACTCAAAGACAAATACTGATGTGTAAGGATTTACATTAAAATAATTTTGATACTGTAGAGTGAAGTTTAGGGTACAAAAGCAGTTACCAGATCTCCAGAACTTTTATCTGTACTGAGACAGGGTCTCACTGAGTTGCCTGTGCTGGCCTCCATTTTGTTTTCCTCCCAAGTCTTCCTCCTGACTTGGTGCGATTACAGGCCTGCATTGCCAGGAACTAAAATAGTGGTTCCTAAGTAAATATGCTCAGGGTAAAATGTCCTGTATCCTGAAAATTGCATGACTGGCTGGAATAGTGATATACACTGGATATCTTCCTGGTGATGGTAAAAAGCAGAAGTGAGCCACAGGGAACTCTGACACATGTTCTAGGGTTTAAAAAATTGACTTTGTATTAGGCAGTGAATTACATTCCATGAATTACATCAGCTATTTCAGATATAAAGTAGACATAATTTCAGATACCAAACTGGTGAGTAATTTGTGTTTAAGCCCAATTAAGGCTAGAGCAAACTCTATACTATTCACTGCACTATGGTATTCATTGCTCAATTATATTTCCACTGTTACAAGTTTATCACAATGGAACCCCATCAGAAATTGAGCACCGTTTGTATTCAAAAACACTGTATAAAATATTTCAAAAAATGTATCACTGTTAAAAAAAAAGGCAAAAAAACAGACAAGAAGAACAAGTAGGCCTCACAGTCACAGTCTGCATAAGCCTACGTGTTTAACGTGTTGGCACTTATCTCAACTATGAGACACTGTTCCTTATGGATAATGAGAAGATATTGCATAAATTTAACTCTAAAGTTGGTAAAGCAGAACACAATCTGAATCAGAAAGTAGTAAATTTCCTCTTTTTATTAAACTGGCTGTTTCTTTTCCTTCATGGCCTTATTTCATCTTCTTAGTTAAAAAAATATTGATTACCAAAGAGAATGTCAATCTCAGCAGCAAGGAATACAATAAAGGCATGTGCCTCATCACATCCAATAATTATTCTTCCCCAAACAACTTCACTGTGAACAAACATTACCTTGATAATGTTACTGATAAATCATTCCATCAACTATATGTTTTGGAGAGAGATTTATTACTACCATTCATGATATCCATTTCCACACAAGATATGTTCTTGCTGACTTATGGCAATCAGAAACTCACAGCAATATGGTTTATTTTTAGATGCAGGTGTTGGAAAAATTACCACAAAATTAAAAGTCATCATCATATAGGCATGAAAACTAAAATGTTCATGGAAAGAAAACAAAATTTTAAGTAAGCCATAATACTGACTCCAAATGAAAGGAACTATGCAAAATTATGTACTTACCATAGTATACTATTATGTTGGGATATATGCAGGTGTTTTGTCGGGATATGAAAAACACAATATTGCTAATATACACGTTGTGTGAAAACAATTGGCCTTCCTCAAAAACACGTTCACAAGCCTCTCTCACTTTCCATCAAATATAAAATAACATCAAATACAAAAATATCTTGTTACACAGAATATGGAGTATATACACTAACAAAATTCAAATCAAAGCTAGTGGGAAATCTCAACAATTAAAAAGCAATTACCAAAATTTACTTTGTCAGGGTCTAGTCCTCCCAATTGTAAAAACAAATTGAAATAAAAACTACATAAATATTAACCCTACTTGATAGTGAAAAATACACTTCAAATCACCTTGTTTAATTAGGAGACACTATATGTTAAGTTCCGAGACATAGGAATACACTAAAATATATAATTGTCAACTAAATTTTTTAATACTAAAGACCACAGACACATACATCAGAAATTTAAAAGCAATTTATTGATAAACAGAGTAAATATGCTTCAGAATATTTCCATCTGAAAGTATATTTTCTAGAAAATTAATGAAGAAATAGTGACATCAAAATTTTAATATTATTTCTACAGATCTCCATTGAATGAGTAAATTTCATAGAATTTTCTATATATAGAGAATATATATATATACACACATATAGGGTTTCCCATATATATACACACACACACACACACACACACACACACACACGTAGGGCTTTTCCACCATGTGACATCTTTCATGTATTTAATAATACCTGTATATGTCATATGCTTTCCTACATTGCTTACATAGGCTTTTTCCCCAGTGGCCTCTTGTTCATGTATTTGACACTGTACCAGATGAACTGTTTTATACATTTCTTACATAGTGACTCCCTAGCATGAATTTTTTTGTCTACAAGATGAAGGCACTGCATCAAACCTTTTCCCACTTTGCCTACATATTTTTTGACCCAGTGTGCCTTCTTTCATGTATTTGATGGCACTTTTGTGTATTGAGTGCTTTCCCACATTACTTACATACATAGGGGTTTTTCCCAGTGTGAATTTGTTCATGTGTTTGACCAGTTCTCTGTTGACTGAAGCCTTAACACATTACTGACACACACGGAGTTTCTTCTCATTATGACTTCTTTGATGGATTTAAAAATATTTTCATGTAGGGTATGTTTTCACACATCATTTACATACATAGGGTCCCTGTTGTGTGAAACCTTGCATGTTTTTGACAATGACTGAATGTTCTGAATGCTTTCGCACAATGCTTACACACATAAGGTTTCTCACCTGTGTGAATTCTTTCATGTATGTGGCATTCTCTCTTTCGGTTGAAAGATTTCCCACAGTACTTACATACGTAAGGTTTCTCACCAGTGTGAATTCTTTCATGTATTTTACAGTCACTCTTTTGATTGAAAGAATTCCCACAATGCTTACATACATAAGGTTTCTCCCCAGTGTGAATTCTTTCATGTAATTGACAA